CCTAGCCTTACTACTAGGAACAAGAACGCTACTAGGGGCCCCTGGCCTTACTACTAGGAACAAGAACGCCACTAGGGGCTCCTGGCCTGACTACTAGGAACAAGAACGCTAGGGGCTCCTGGCCTTACTACTGGGAACCAGAACGCTACTAGGGGCTCCTGGCCTTACTACTGGGAACAAGTACGCTACTACTAGGGGCTCCTGGCCTTACTACTAGGAACAAGAACGCTACTAGGGGCTCCTGGCCTTACTACTAGGAACAAGAACGCTACTAGGCGCCCCTGGCCTTACTGCTAGGAACAAGAACGCTACTAGCGCTCCTCACCTTACTACTAGGAACAAGAACGCTACTAGGGGCTCCTGGCCTTACCACTGGGAACAAGAACACTACCAGGGGCCCCTGACCTTACTACTAGGAACAAGAACGCTACTAGGGGCTCCTGGCATCGCTACTGGGAACAAGAACGCTACTAGGGGCTCCTGGCCTTACTACTAGGAACAAGAACGCTACTAGGGGCTCCTGGCCTTACTACTAGGAACAAGGACGCTACTAGGGGCTCCTGGCATCGCTACTGGGAACAAGAACGCTACTAGGGGCTCCTGGCCTTACCACTGGGAACAAGAACGCCACTAAATCCCACTCACCTTACTACTAGGAGCAAGGGCCTTACTACTAGGAACAATTTTTGCTAGTAGAAACAATAAGCTACTAGGAACAAGTGCATCGCTACTAGTAACAAGTGCCTTACTAGTAGTAACAAGAAGCTAGTAGAAACAATAAGGTACTAGGTGATTGGACGGCTCGGGCTTCCGAAAGCTTAGTCAACCAAGCGTTCGTGGCGCTCGCTTGAGCAAAGCATGCGGCAGCACATCTGAAAGGCTCTGCAAAAACTGAGGTGTAAGGTCGTACAGTCATCAAACTAAGTGGCCCACATGCAGGAAGAGGCCCAAAGAATCCTAAAGATACATTCAAAAAATACGCCTGCATAGGCCGCAAATAGCAAAATATTTTGGTTGGCAGACACCAGCACCCACACTCCAAATCGTGCACTGCCATAAACATGACTGTGATGCAGTATTGGGCGGAGAAACGTTTGGCAGCGGCACCCTGCATCCAGGCTCCAAAGCTCAAGCTGCCATAGACATCTGGCAGCAACCCCACAGCGGCACCTTGCATTAGCACCAGCACCCGAGCTCCAAAGCGCATATCGCAAAGACATTTGGCCGGCAGGCGCTGCCATAGACATGGCAGCAGCACCCTGCAGTGGCACCCTGCAGCACGCAAGCTCCAATTTATCATAGGGATCTCGGCTCAAGCTGCAAAAATTGTTTGGGTCGTTTTCTTGCTTTGGTGCTCTTAGCAAAGCAGAACAGAGTTTCTCAGATGGGAGTTCGCCTGAAGTCTTCAATTTTGGCAGGTCAGAGGCCAACGAGCTCTCACTCCCGGCATGAGCTCTTTTCGTGTAAAGCGGCCATGGCCGACCGCCTGGTGAGGCATTCTTTGTGTTCCTTTTCTTTCCCTTAGAGACCCTGGCGTGGTCTCTAACAACATCACATCACCTGTTGGGTTGGAAGGGGCAAGCTCGGTCAAACCTTCACAACCTCTGGTCTGACCTTTATGTCTTTATGTGTGTAGGCTGCCTCTAACCTACTACCGATGGCCTCCAACCTAAGAAACGATGGCATGGCCTCATGGCCTCCCACCTAGAAGCGATGGCCTCGAACCTACTAGTGATGTTTTCCGACATAACATAACATGCCCCTACATTTGGTTGTTGGCAAGTCCTTTCCAACAGCGCTTACAGTACTCGACGCAGCTTATTTTGCACTGCAAGCGCTCAATGATTGAGTGAACAAATGGCCGCCCTTTAACTTAGTGAAAGCTGAAATTGATCATCTTGAGAGCTCTCAGAAAGGTTGCCTCTTAACCTTTCTTGGTTGCAGCGAAAGCTGGCAGAGAAAACTGCCAGGGTTTGCTTCGAGCAAAACTTGAAAATGAGGACGTTCTGGCAAAAGCATCAGCTTCATTCTCGGACCTCGACCTTCCGACTGATGCGGTACGTCATGTGCGGTGCGTCATGCGGTTGTAGTCGCTTTCACGCAAAGGTGTCCTTGTGACACGGTCGG